ATACCATTAAATGTAACACCCCTAACCCGTATCCGACCTGGATACGAATTCGAGGCGCCACATTAACTTTCAAAACACTTTGACTCTTTAAAAAAATCCCATTAAAATTCTACAATGAAAACAAAACTTGATAAAACAAAATTAAAATACATATTTATTGTACATGCCAACAACATTTACCATCCACAATAACATAAAATTTAAAATCTCTCTGATCCGATAATCTTCAAAGGTATGATGTCTTGTTCCCCCCTTACATGTATTACTCCTTGCATAACTTTGAACCTACGTGTGAAAACACTCACACGCTAAGTCGATGACTTAGTGAGGCATTATAAGTACTATGAATATACAAAACAAGTGTACATTTTTATAAAAGATAGGTTAAGTTACCAAAATTCACCAGTTTTATAACTTATAGCCTCTCTTAATAATTACTAAAGAATTTATACTTATTTTGTTCTTGATTATATCTCCAAGTCATTTCTTATATAGACTTTTAGTTTCATATAAACTACATAGAACTGATACATTTTTACTTTATAGTCATTTGTTTAATTTGCCCAAACTTATAATACTGAGAATTCTAGGTATTTGAGTACATTGAGATTGTGCACTAATATTGTCACCACAGCTCGTAATTTGCACCGAAGTGCCATATAATTATCCCGAAGGACCACATAGGTTTGCACCGAAGTGCCACATATTTGTCCCGAATGATCACATAGACCCTCGACTCTTGGCATACCAACTATACATCTAATCCTCATACATATACTTTGGGCTATTAATCATATAATTATATTAAATCATTATTCAAAGTGTCTCTTATTCACATAATTCTTCTCACATAGAGTCTTTTCACAACACTTGTTCAAAGTTCACATTTCCACTATCATTTATGTTCCGTAGAACATATTCACTTAACACATATTCATATCATCTTTCACATAAATCTTTATCACATAACATTATCAAATGTTATTATTTATTTACAATCAAACATTGGTTCGAAATATCTTGTGTCACAAAATATTGATCGTTATTTTTATTTAATCACATATATCATATTTTCATAGTTATTTTACATGATTATTTAATATCACATATCATAAATCAACGAATTCATTTACTTGTATAAAACATATTCATATATAAAATCTTCACATATAATAATACCATTTTATTTTAATCAAAATACTTTAGGTTGGCTTATCACAAGCCTTTCGTCAAACATCAATAAATTATGCAAGTAGCACTCACCTTTGCCTCACTAAAGTCTAATCCGAATCCTTTCGAATCAATATTCAAAATGCCAAGATGACCGGAAGTCACTTACGTTCAATCACTACACAAAACAAATCTAAAATCAATATCGTCCTTGAACTCAATTATATCGAATCAAAATAACTTGGAATACAAGAACCCTATTTTTTATTTCATACTTGGGGGTATCGATACACTCCTCAATGTACCGATACACAAATAACACTCGATGTTTTGAGGGTACCGATACACTCATCAGTGTACCGATACACAAATGGCATTCAATGTTTAGAGGATATCGATACACTCCTCGGTGTACCGATACACACTCAAATAATTATGCGTGTTCAACTCATGAGGTATCGGTACATCTCCTAAGAGTACCGATACACTAGGCCCAGAATGGCCATTTCCAACTCGAAAATCACCTAAAATCCATCCAAAAACTCTCTTAAACACAATTATAACTCTTAAACAACCCATAATCTCATTTAAGCACTTGAATCTTCAAATCGTACCCAACATTCAAACATGTTATTACCCAATTCTAACACTCCTAACCTTTTAATTAGACTAGTGACAAGTCAAATATCCAATTAAAACTTAAAAAAATTACACCATAATAACAATTCACCTAAAAACCACTTTACAAATCCATCTTTAAAACACTCATATTGTTGTTTTAATGTTATATAAGCTTTCCCTAAGCTTATATACCATCCAAACTACCATTACTAAACCAAAAATTAAAGTAAAACTATCACTTTCAAAATCTTACCTTTGGGGAGTGGAGAGGAGCACAACAAGAAGAAGAAAGAAAGAAGAGCTTCCATAAATTTTCTCTCATTCCACGTGTAACCATCCTTAAAAAGAGAGAAGATAAAAATCTTTCAGGTGAAAAGACCATATTGCCCTTCCACTAATCCAAATTTAATATCAAGTCTTGACCAGAAATTTCCATAATAAATCCTTGAATTCTCAAATTATTCTAATTAAACCACTTAATTTTTTAGTTCTTGCATTTTGATCATTGACCCGATTATTAGGATGTTACATTGACACTAATTTGTATTTTATTGGTGGTCTTTTAGTAGTTTAAATCCCATGTTGTGGTTCGTTTGCCGTAGCAGTCAGATAGGTTCGTATCTATCTATTGTTCTAGTTTTTCTGGATGAGATTTTCATCTTTTCCTGGTATAGTTCTGATATGATGTTGAGTGGTTAGTTTCTTAAATGATTTTAGGATAATATCTAAATTATGTATCTAATTTACGATTTTTATCGTAAATTTTATTGTAATTTTAGATAATTTTTTATTTATTAATAAAATTAACCGCTTTATTTAAAAAAATTATATTTAAAATTGGAATCATCCTTTAAATTCTTAAGTATTATGAAAAATTATAAATCATTATTTTCAATCCATAAAACTTTCTTATGATAAATTTCTAGAAATTAAGTGAGACTCAAAATGGATAATATATTAAAAAATTCACCCGAGTTCGGTCCGATCTCACGAGTTTTGTAACTCATAGATGTCAAAGAAGACCACATAATTGGGGATGTGTTTGATTGACTTTGAGTCACGAGAAAACTCTATAAAATAACAAACACAAAAATAATTAAATATTTCAATCTGAAGATATTCATGGGGAGATAGCTTACTCTTTTATTTATTTATTTTTTTCAACCGAACTTAATAATTTATATCATAGATTAAATGAAATATAATTATTCAATATACAAACGATGTAAATTTTAATTTATATAACCTTATTTATTTTATAATTTTAACTTATAGTTGATCCAAATTCCATAAAAAAACAGTGTCAATTATTTCATTTAAATAATTATTACACCTCAAACAATCAGTTGATGTAGTGAAATGAGAAAATAGATCCCGGTCAGAAGTTTGAATCCTAATGTTTACGAATGGAGTAAATTAGATTGAAATGATCGCTCTCACCTTTATGGTATAAATTTAAATTAATCAATTAATAAATTGAATACAGTGGTTATACAAACAAAAATCATTACACCAAGTACCAACCATTGTAGGACAAAAACAACACTAACAATATTTATTAGATTATGTGAGACTAACATTATTTATTTATTTATTTTTATTAAGCTAAAGTGATTATAAAGTAGTATATGTTCTAAATACTATCAATCATTTAATAATAAACGCTCAATCAGAAAATTCATATCAGAAAATTTATCTGATCTATAAATAAGTCTACAATCGCATTTAAAATATAAAATATTAAAAAAATATGGTAAAATATACAATTGATCTTCCGATTATAAGATATTATTTTGTTGAATCTCTTATTATTAATTATAAAATGATCCCCTAATGATAAAGTGTTGTTTTGGGTCTCTCAACTATTATAAGTTACACAATAGTCATCGGACTATACATATGTTCTAAACTTGTCATTTTTCGTTAAAAAATAGCAATAGTCTGAGTTGAACGTTAACATGTTGACTATACATGATAAAAATCATATTTTAATGATGTATACTGACACTGTCGTTGCTTTCAAGTACTGTCTCGATGACATAATATTTCAAGTATTAGCTCAACTACATAATGTAAAAGAAGATTCGACCCACAAAGTACAATTCAAACATTTCTGAGATTAAATTTTATTATATCCCAATTAACGTCAAACTCAAACATCCTCTAATTTTTAAACATAAAAAGATAAGTTTATAATATATAGATAGTCAAGTGACCATTTTATAATTTATAAAAATTAAGAAACTCAACAAAATAACATCCTTCACTTAAAAATTATTTTACAATTTTTAATAATTAAATAACTCAATAAAATATCAACTTATAATGAGAAGATCAATTGTGTATTTTATCTTAAAAAAATTAAGGGGAGAGAATAAAGAAAAGCTAATAAGAAACTATATAAAAATGAGAAAGGAAGGTTTCGTCGACCAATGAATATTAGCCACAAAAAGATAGTGTTTTGTTTTCCAAGGCAAAAGCGAGAAAGTCCAAGTTTTCCTAGTCACACGAGTCTGCGCACGTGCTCTTTATCCATTTCTTCCCTTTATTTAGTTAGTTACAATGTACCAAAATACGTCCCTTTCAATCCTTCACCTAATTATTTTCACGTGATTGCTTTTAATTCATTCGTATATTTATATTAAATTATATTATTATTCTTATTTAACAATACAATTACAACACGAACCAAACGATCTAAATAGTCAAGGGATCTATTTATATCTTTTGAGGTCTTAAGTTCGAGCATCTCGTATGTATGAGTATAATCGTTCATTGTTAAATGATTAAGAATCTTTAAACAAATACTACATTCTATTCATTCAAAATTCATATAAAAAATACGATTACATATCAAAATAATAGTTTAATAACTAAATATTTATATTTAAATATAATAATAATATTTAAATGTTATTTTTATGAATGATTTAGAGTTTTATATATAAGATTTAGTTTAGAATTTTAGAATTTAGAATTTAAAGTTTATAATTATAAATTATAGATTTCATATTCAGATAGTGGGAAAAAATAAATTTTATAAGATATATTTATTAGATAATTTTTTAATATTTATAATATATAAAAAATTCGAGTCAAAGACTAAAGTAGATTACATATAAATTTGGTATCTAATATTTTCTAGAGAATCTTCTATTTGTTTGTAAATATTTTCCATTCCTTTCTTTCTTGCAACCTTCCTCTTCCCTTGTCAAATAATATATATTTTTTCCATATCTTTTCTCTTTCCACGAAACCACCATTGATTACTTTGAAAAAGAATCCAAATCCCACACCCCCTATATAAACCCAAAAACCCTAATTAAAGTTATTTCACATGTTCATCATCAAATCTTATCTTCTTCACTTCTAATTCCTTTCCAAAAGGGTACTCAAATCTCTTTTCTTTTCAATTCCTTCCATGGATGCACTTCATCAAGTGAAGAGAACCAAGAAGAACTCGAAGAGGAGCAATTCCGAGAAAGGTTTGAAAGTCGTTTATATCTCGAGTCCCATGAAGGTCCAGACGTGTGCCTCGCAATTCCGAGCTTTGGTCCAAGAACTCACCGGCAAAGACTCCGACGTCGCTGACTGGTTCATGGACAGCTCTAACTACAATGACACCACACCCGAGAATTCACCGACGAATTCCGACACGACAAGGACTATTGCCGATGATGGTGTTATTGGTCAGCTGCCCTCCCTTGATTCCAACAGTGATCAATCAGTGTTTGGTCCATTTGATGATGGAATTATGTCGGAAGGGAGTTTCTTGGGTATGTTTACATCAAATTTGTTCCGTGACCAATCGCAGTTTGATGCTATTCGAAGCTTTGGCTCAGTTTGATTAATTTCAAGTATTTTATAAGATTTAGTTCAATGAGTATTGTGAAAAAATTGCATAAATTTTGATCTCCACTCGAACAATAACTCATTTCGTTCTTATACTAGGCGTAAGCATAGATTTAGTTACACATAATTGAACCCGAAACTCAACTTTAAGCCTAAATCCAAACCCGAAACTCAACTTTAAGTCTGAATCCGAACCCAATACTCAACTTTCTGAATCCAAACCCAATACTCAACTTTAAGTCCGAATCCGAACCCGGCACTCAACTTTAAGTCCGATTACTAACCTAAGACTCAACTTTAAATCTGAATCCAAACCCAACACTCAAGTCTAAATCCGAATCCGAGTGGCATAAATCAAAACGCATTAAAAATGTAATCGCAAAATACCAATGTCTTCTAATTTAGAAAAGAGAGAGATGTTAACACAGAGTAAGCACTAGTGAGTGTACATCTCTATTTTTTTTATTCATGCAAATGCTTCATTTAAGTTAAAATGCTGATTGAAACTTTGAGGACTTTTCACTTGTTTTGTGCAAGCCACTTACAAAAGCCATTCTCTAAAGCATCTTTCATCCATTCATGCCTGCAACTCTGCAGTGCTTTCGGAATCGTAAGCCAGTTTCTCATCCGAGTGCTCTGCTCCGGCCACGAACTTAGTTCCTCCTTCACTAACAACGCGAACATTGCAGCTTTACATAACCCTTCTGGACTGAATTCATCTTGATGAGTTTTGCTCTTGAAAGAATAAAATCCTATGAAATCCTAAATACCATAAGAAAAGTTAGAGCACTTTCAACCTAGTGTAAAGAGGTGAATGCAACAATCTTACACATGATAAAATAATTTGTGCAATTCTCATGGTGTAAAGGCAACCAGAGGCATAATTGAAATCTTACGATGACCGTGTTAAGAGATTCTGGAATTAATGGAAATAGTAGGGATAACGCTACTAATTTCTTGTACAAAGAGATAAGAGTGCTCAAAACTATAACCTATCAGATATTATATCATAGAAATGAATCTGTTCAACTTTTTCACGTTTGGAGGATCGTATCCCATACCAAGCCTAGATATATATCGGACATGGGTATTGGAAAGAACATAAATGGTTAGAGCAACATCCGTTAGATGCGTTCATGAGGATAAAGCAACGACATGTAGAAAATATACCAGATCTATGGCACTATAAAGCATTCCACTTGAACTCAGGTGTGAGTATCAGATACATGTATATGAACGACTAAGGTATACTTGACCATTTTCTTAGTGTTTTCTTAGTCTTACTCGAAAGTTGATGACAATCTCGACCTATGTTACATTGTTACTTGAACAAGAGTGTGATCATCGGATAAGCGTATATGTACGGCATAGGTTTACTTAAGTATGTTCTTAGCGCTTGTGTCTGTCAAATTGAGATATTTCAAGGTAAAATGAAAGCAGCACGTGTTGACAAAATAACGAATAATATTTAGATATCTATCCTGAAAACATCAAATACATCAAGGGATGAACAGATGTCAGAAAATATGTTATAGCATTTCATAAACTCGAAAGATAACAATATAAAACGCATAAATATAAGAGGAAGAAAATTCACCAATAAATCCCCTCGCACCGCAGCTTCTTCAATAGCTTCCCTCACTGCAGCCTCCTCGACTGTTTCATCATTCTCCCAACCTCCCTAGAATCAGAGAGAAAGATATTCATGACAAGATGTTACTCTAAAAATACTCTCTTCTTCAAAATGTAGATAATAAGAAAACACGGTAACCAAACAGCTATTTTTGACTCCATTTAGGTCCACTACATTTTATATGCAGTTATCATATTCTTTAATGGAAAGAATCATAAAATACTATGTTACTGTGATTCGAGTATTAGATATGGATGTTTTTGACACTAGCATTATTAATTTTTCTTAGTCTTTCTATGTGTTCTTTAAAAAGTCATATACATACACCCATATCTTAATGTATATCGAAGTGAATGTCTAACACAGGTAATTCAAGAATAAATATTGGAAATCAATCTTAAAATTTTGCTAGAACTAATTTTTTATTACTCCTAACTCTAGTTTAATCTCAACGATCTGAAAAAAAAACATATTAATAGGAATGTCTTTGTATGGAGTTCCAAAGAAAAATAAAATAAAAAAGGAAGCTGGTTCAAAAATTCAACGATGTCCAAGTAAAGAAAAAGAGTTTGCAAGAGAAACCACCCGGTATGTAGACAAGAACACAGTAAGAAAAAAATATCGTGGGACTCGTATTTTAGACTCTACCGTCAAATGAACCTTCAGATTTAAATATATGAATCACAATTGATTATTTATAGAAATTTCATAGCAAACGTTAGTTATGTTTCTCAAGTGTTGAGTTTCTAATCAATAATTCAGCCAAGAATAATCACTTAAATTCCCATTCACGATAATAAGTAATAACAAAATTGTCAAAGACCAGTTAAATCATTCAAACCTTAACTCTCCTAAAACAAACTCTTGCCCATAGATGGCCATACTTTTTCATGAGTTTGCAAGATCTATTTCAATAAAGTCAAATAAGATCCTCAGTAATTTCCATGAAACATTTACCTCCTACGTAACTCCGAGATCTTCATTTTCTCTGAAGTACCGTGTTTTAAAACTGTTTCAGCCACATACTTGGACATGGATATGGGGATATGATCCTCTAAGAACCCACCAAATACATGAAAATCTTAGAATAAGATTTGATCATACCCATGTCTGATTCATCTGAGGCCAAGTAACATTGTTACATCATCAAAATTTTATTCTAAACTTAAAACAACATTTCAATCTAATATAATATGAAAATGTCATAACTACTTGCAACCCAATTAATAGATTACCAAAGTACCTCCTGTTATCCAAGAGACAAGTGCAAAGCATACTTATTCTTATTCGTTGTATATTGTATGTTACTCCAAACATTTCATTTTTCTTTTCTTTATGTACCAGTGTCCAACAGCTATATTGACATGGATATAAGGATACAATCCTCAAAAGAATCTCCAAATACGTTAAAATCCTTAGGAAAATTGAACATATCCATGCCGTACACATTTAGTCCCGTCACTTGCTCTGGAGTGCGAGCAACATAGGTATTATCAGATACTACTAAGTAAACATATTATTTTGTTGTAAATGTTAATAAGAAATTTGAATGGTGTACACCAGATTGGTTAGATAAAAAAACTGCAAGAAAATGAAATAGGAGCTAAAAGTAAAGGCTAATAATAATGGGTAATCCAAAATGCAATCCAATATTAACGGATACTCTGCGACATAACTAAGACTGGATGCATGTGTTTTTCAAAAAAAAATATATTTATTTCTATCAACAGTAGTGTATATATGAGCAATAATAAATGCAACAATTCTCTACCGCAGAATGGAGTTAATCAGGCTCAGAATGGTAGGAAGCACGGAAAAGAAAGTAAGAGTTACATTGCATGCCTGAATAAACATGAGTTTGTACCTTTGGAAACAAGAGACCTGGTCCACTAGTCGAGGTAATCATCAGTACCTCAACCACCTTTCCAAATTTTACATCATCTGCCTCGTTTGAATTTCTATACCTAAATGGAATACATCTGTCAAAAGGGAAGAGCAAATTTAGCACATGAAGCTCAATGGTGAATAGAATTTTCATATTACTTCAAAATTGAAGAGTTCCCACTAGTCGATGCCTATCTCATTACATTCAGAATGAAACAATTCAATCTCAATCCAAAATAGCAAGAAAAGAGGGAAAAGAAAAAGAAAGATTGAAGACCAAACATTCTTCCAAAAGGTATGTATAAAAATCCGGTCACATTACCATCAAAGCAGAGAAAAACAAACCGTAAACATAGAGGGGATCAATTCAATGGCATCTTGAATAGCACATCTCATCAATATTGAAGGACTACATTACAGTAACTTTTCATTTTTCTTGAAGTAAATATTTCCTACACCCATGTGCAGATATTCTGGATGTGGGTATGGGATATGACCTTTTGAAAAATTCAACATGCCCTTTTCATTTTTCCCTAAGTAACCATTTCCAAAATGCATGTATGAATATTCAGGACATGGGTATGGGATATGACCTAAGGACACTACAAATACATGAAAAACTTCTATGATTTAATGTACTCATATTTAACTCTCGCACTCTGAGTCCCAGTAACAAATTAAAGGATGTCCTACCCACAAGGCAAATTCTTTTGATTTAGTTCCAACCTTAAAGTCAGCATAACTTCAACTGTCAATCATAGTTACATAGATTAAGCAACTTGATCTACCGCAAACAAAGAATATGTTGGGAAATTTCTCTCTAAGATTGTTCTTTATCTTCCCTGGTTTTTCTTTCTTTATTTTTCCCCTTTCCTTTTCTTTTTTGAGAAATCAAAAAGACAATTTAAAGGATAGTATAACTGCCTGACTACTGAGAAACATAGCTATCAACATCAATACCAAAATATCAAACAAATAGCTAATATGCAACACACAAAATTTCCTAGAAGGTCTCACTCTCTTTTTGTCATATGTCATATCTACCCAAAGTCACACCCAAGGTCAGGTTGATATGCTAACCGTTCCACCTCACAAATCATTCATGAAATTTCGATATTCCTATATTAGCTCCAAGAGAAAATATCATTTCTCAAACCAAACGCTTCAACTACCATTACACTGAAATTCATGAAGATGATCCAATGCCTTTTGTTCTGAAAGCTCATATGGCAACATAAAGAAGATAATTCTACGAATATTTTTCACTTCGTAATTTACAACATGTACCCTACTTCCAACGCAATAATCATTATCCATTAAGCAGGCATTATTGACATTTCTCATAGAAAAAAAACCCCCACCTACTAACATCCAAGTTTTGTCCTAGAGAAAAACAAAAAACAGGAAACTCCCACTTGCAGTTTCAACTTTCATGTCAAGAATGTAATAAACCATTTCAAAATGAAAAATGTGCACTTTTCGACCCTTAA